CTTCTCGACTTGGAACTTTTCGAGGACTTGCTCTCGACTGAACTCGGTGAGAAACTCCTTCAGACTGTCCACAACAGACAGAGAAGTCGTAGTGCTCGAAGTACTGGCCGCCCGCGGCGGTCTATGGCCCGAGGAGTGATACGAGGGGGACTGAAACAAAATTCAAGCTTTCGAAGCTTATGCTAAAATGGCAACGGTACATAAACAAGTTCACAAGAATCGATCGAGTACATCCACAAACCGATTCGGTGTGAAGGTGAGATTTGAAGTTGTCATTTCGCACAAACAAGTGTGTGCTACACTCCAAACCCCTTAGCCAGTCAAGATTCTCGTAGAGAACGGTGAAGCACCTTGGCCAATCGTTGGTGCCACAACACGGAATCAACAAATCATCCTGCATCCAGCCAAGAGCTGGTTGGGCCAGAGATGTTGCTGTAGCTCTGGGAGTTTGACGGAACAGTGGCCGGAGACGGCCCGTTGGTAAGCGGTAAGCCCACACCGTCGCCAGTGTTCAGCAACTCAAGCAGTAATGGTAGTAGCCGTAATAACAGTCGTCGTTCAGCAATTCAAAAATTTCAAAAGACATCGTTCTAGCAATGGTGCCGTGCTGGAACCAAGTTCCAAACCTCCCCGGGAAGATTCGACTCGTTCGACTGAGATCGAAAGGCCGAGGCTCTCCGTTGCCAAGGCGAGGGTGCTGACGAGGCAAGCGATAGCAGTGGAGAAAAGGAAGCGGCCCAGGACCTTTTGATGCAGATAGCAGACCCCATGGGTCTCCTGGTACTTGCCTGGCCTTCCTGCGCGTTACTCCGTCTTTGCACTCAGCTTATTTGCTTGTCCTTACTATTATCAGTGTCTTTGCTGCTGGTGGCACAGGGCCTGTACCATAGCAGCTTGCCGGCGGGGATGGTTTTCTTACGGCTCTGGTGATGGTGCTGATCCTGGTTGCAGGCTGGTGGCGGTGACAAGGCTGAGGATGGATGTCTTGCTGGTGGTGATGACAAACACGATGATGATGCTGTTGATGTTGATGATGATGTTGATGGTGGTGATGATGATGATGGTGATGATGGTGATGGTGATGAATGAGCAGCTGCTGCTGCTGGCGGTGGTGGTGACCTGCCAGCACTACAGACCAGGCATCACCGACTGTGCTGGTCACACTCAACCATGTGCCAGTTGCGGTTGCGATTTTAGCGGAGATCTTCAGGTTCAGTAGACACGCTGCAACTGTGTGAAGCAACATAGGCTGAAGCTGATAAGCCAAGAGACCGAGTAAGCCCAAACTGCCTCCGCCTTGAAAGGTGCAGCGGTTGCAGATTGTGGAGATTGGCAGACCGAATTCCATCTTCGTTGTGTCGAACCAAAACAGAACCGGGACTTCGTGGACCCTGCAACTAGCAGAACTAGCGGAGGCTCGTACTACGATTCGAAAAGTCGTCCTGGGTTTCTGCAGATGGGATTTATCTTGGGTTCAGGGGTGTCCTGTTGCCGCCGATTCCCCGCATCCATCGCAGATCCTTTGTCTAACCGTTCCCGGGCCCCCAAAGCACCCCAAACCGGAAGGCTCGCAGTTAATTTGTCACCCGTTGACCCATTTGTCGCAAACTCCCCCGACCCAACGGAGGCCGAGGTACCTTGCTGTAGCCGCGGCACTGCTTCACCAGTCGCCCCGCTCGCACCCACAGACGTCCTGAGGGGGCCGAGTGCGAAGAACACCGTGGTTATCGGGAACAGGAGATCCAGAAAAGTCAAACACGTCTTGCTTGAAAAATTGTTGTGAAAAGTAAACCCAATTGCTTCTCATTTGAGGCTAATGTGAAACAGGGGTCACGAGGCTGATCTACTCGATATGTCCTGGAGGGATATTGAGCCTGAAACGCAAAATCCCGCATTGACCTAGAACCTCAAGCACAAATGCCCGAAGCGTGATTGATTATTGTCTTGTCAACGACGTGAGGTCTGACACGGAGTCTGCAGCAGAACGCCGAATGGTATCAGCCGCGGCACCAATGCCGCAGCATGCGGCGGTCCCCAGCGCCTCAGTTCTGCCGAACATGTTCCCTTTGGTTGCGCGCAAAGGATTCGCTTCTCGTGCCCAACCGAAGCAACTCACCAGACACGCTTGGATATCAATGCGCATACGTCTGGTTCACCAAATTGAAGACCGAATATGAGTCCACACACCATCTGAAGTCCGAACGTGAGCCCCGAACCTTCGCTTAAGCAGGCTCCATTCCAAAGGCCCATTTGGAAGATGCAAAAAGGATCCAAATCAACGCCACAGCGACGGCCGTGGCAACGGAAGCGACCCCTTGCGTCCTCGGAAGCGTTCTACAGAGTCTGGCGGAAAAAAGATGTCTGCACTGCCTGCACACATGAGACCGAAAAGTCTGCCAACATTCTGAAGGATCAAACCTCGAAAGTGCATCCACGCTCAGAATTACACACAGCATGCCAACGTCCCTAAAACTCAATGAACACCTGATAGTTTCGTCGAGACGCATTGACCGGCCAAAAACCGACAAATTTTGAAACGTCAGCTGGCTTCCGCGAGCCTGAATCCAGCAGAGTTTGTCAAGGCTCGGTCGGACTTCCTGCAAGAGCCTTTGGTTGTGCAGGATTTGGCTATGAGATTCGAGCTCTGAGGCCATTTGGAGGTTGCGAGGGCAAGAGGCTGGAGTCTGGGCTGTGAACGCCGCAAGGCCTTCGGAGATCCTGCTGACAGTCGTGCGCATGCGCGCGCAGTTCTTGTTTCCTGCATCCATGCAAGATGCAGACACACTGACCCGCTACTCAAGCTTGCGAGTAGTGACCTCGCAGATCCTGCAATTGCTACAGCTCTTCCAAGACCGAGACATGCCACTCAACCATCCCTCCGAGCACACCAGAGGCTTGAAGCCTTGTCTGCCACCATGACACGAAGCCGCAGCGGACCACCGCGCATGCGATGGTGATGCAAGAGGTCAGGGCACCCACGACGAACACGCAGACCCTAAGTGGCGGTTGAGGAAACACTGGGTGAGCTAAGTGGAGCAGTAGCGAGAGGCTTCATGACCCTTCTAGACGACAGCAGAAGTACGGAGAAGCAGAGCAAAACGCCGACGTCTCTCTGCCAGGAAGCATGAGCCCGGTGAGAACGGCCAAGCGCATGCCCATAAGCCGCATCTGAAGCCACCTGAGGAGAGCCCGGAGAGCTCGGCTTTCGCCTATCTACTAGGCTTCTCTTGTCAGGGGCGGGCTTGCCGCCTGACATGAGTTCCCATCTCCGCTTTGCTCTACTTTACCCGCCCACTACACTCATCTGCAGCTCGGTTGCAGAGTCGTCAGATACAGGATCGTCCTAACGTCGCGGAACGGAAATTGAATCTGTGTGTGAAGTCCTCCTACAGGAGGACACTAGTCACTAGCTATTTGCAGACTGAAAGGCATTCCCAGCTGAAGTCAAGGATGGAGTCCTTCCTTCGACCTTTCCCCAAGTCGACCTGGTTTCGATACATCGCGCAACCGAGGCTCCGCAAGGTGAGGAAGGCCATCGAAGGCACCGCAAACCTTTGCTTTGCTTGCGAGGAGCAATCGTAGTGGGGTCACTTGGGCCTCCTCGCTCACAGAATAGCGGGCCACACGACACAGGCAGTGCAAGTCTGCCCACCAGCGAGTAGCTTTCTCGGAATTTGAGTAAACAAACACGGCTCGGTTCGCGGTAGTAGGGGCAGAGACATCACCAAGTATCAGACCTATCCAGCTGTCTCGGTTCAACAAATGTGGACTTTGGGCATGTTGGCCTGGTAGCAGACTTTTTGTGCTGCCCTGTAGGTGAGGCAACCGCAACCGCAGCGGTGCAATGGCTCACCGCGTGCTCTCCACAAGCGACTCCCTAGATTGCCAGATGCGCCCAGATGCCAGGAGCCAGCACAGGTGCGCGGCACTGCAGTCGCAAACAGCAGATGCATGGTACCTAGGATGCAGGAAACACCAGGAAGCAACTGCCGGTTCTGCTCCAAAGCGACTCGCCTCGCTATACTACAGTAGCACTTCAGCTCATGCCCCCCCCTGGACAGCAGAACCCTTTGACACCGTCGCTACCGGGCAGCCGTAGCAGTAGGTTGAAACCCAGGAGGCGAAGATCAGCTCCCCAGTCAGGCAGCCCAAAGGATCCTGGAGGCGCGGGCCATGCTGGTTGGGGCCCAAATACCGAAGCCCTGAGCCTTTCTTCGTGGGCTCCTGGCTGATGTCCTGGCGCCGGTGCACGAAGACGAAGAGGCCGGCCAACTGCAAGGAAGAGTTGATCAAGTTCCTGGGGCCACGCTACTTGGCTGCAGCTTGCACATCTTGCACTGTCAAAAGCCTTTGAGGTGCGGATTCGTCAATGCCAAATGCCAGAACACACGTGGCCAGACTGCAGTTGATGCCAGCTTCGAACCGAGAATCAGCAGTATGCGATAGCCTTCTGCATCGCCCAAGCGGTATTGGCGAATACTGGCCGCAACCTTATCGCACTGAGGAAATCCGAAGTGCAGCCAGTGGCCACGCAGACAGGTTGCAAAGGCTGCAACAGTCGGCCACCTCAAACACACCCCCTGAACGTGGCCGGGCCGCTATGGACAGGAGTTCCAGCAGCGAGCACAGGGCCAGCGTGGCCGTGAGCAAGGGCAAGGGCCAGGAAATCCAGCGCCGGAGCTTCATGGAATCACATGGTACGAGCGCTGTCACCACAGGATGCCAAGCATGTGGGCCCTTTCTTCTAAGATCATCCCAGCGGGCGGGCTTAGAGGATTTCTTTTCAGGACTCCTGGCAGTGGATGCAGGCAGGCAACTTCCAAAATGAGTTGGTGCCCATTGGGGTCGTAGATAGGCTGCAGGGGTGCGTTGCAACTTCTTGCCAAGAGCTTGATATGGCGAGTCATGGCATGCTTACAGAATTCGCTCTGCAAGCAGTAAACTGGAGCTTGTAACGACCTCACCCAGCGAAGCAGCCGGAGACTGAATCTCGGCCCGGCCTGGCAAAGGCGCAACGCCTGAGTGGAAGTCGCGACTGAACATCTTCGCAGCAGGTGCAAGAATGACTCACGACCAGCAGGAGTAGTGGTCGTTGTCGCCGAGGCATCAGCAGGAGCGGCAACAAGAGCAGCAGTGGCCGCAGATGGTTTATGGGCCTTTGTGGGGGTGCCGAGGCTTTGATTTCAATGCAAAGCTGCAAGGGCCTCGTCATACCTCAAAAGCTGAAGTCTCATCCGGGAACTCCTGACATCAAATATCGGCCTTGCGCAAAATACTGGAGAAGGCCCACGCAGCACATATTCTGGAAGACGTCCCAAACACGGCCTAACTAACGGCCTGACACAGCCTCACGCACCACTTATACAAATGCAAAGACTGGCATGAATCGTATATTGACATGCTGAGGACCCAGCAGCTGCCCTGCAGCAAGCTGAGTCAGTTTGTTCAGGACTTGAACCAGCTGCCGCTGGCGACCTCTTCAGGGTCCCCGAGCTTGGACCCACGAGTTCTGTTGCAAGGATGCCATTCTGCCAAGCGAAGATGTGTGCTGGGGACTGCAGACCGAATCACTAAACCGTAAGATCCATCGAATTCCTGGTCCCAGCCCCAGCCTTGGTATCTGCAGGCAGCATGCAAGCCGCGGAAAGCACGGCGGAGGGGCTGCAATCTGATGGCCTCGATCAGATTTAGGATGCTGTCGGCTTCTGCTTGCCCGTTTTCGCAGATGTTTGTTCTTGTTGCTAGTATTTTGGTTCTCACTGGTTCGACGCTGCAGTCGCAACATGTCGCAACGTCGCAATGGCTGCGCATTTTTCTCGCATCCATGTTTGCACATTGTCTTGCAGTCATGTCAATGCTTTTAGCATGACGTGCCGACTACGCCGGCCTTCGGGGGTGAGGAGAAGCTCGTCTAAGAGAGCGATTTTAACTGATTGTTGGGTCCGACGACAGGACGGCACCAGGCCTGGAGCCACGCGGCATGGCGCCGGCGTCGCTCAGCGCGGCGCAGGGTCCTCTGCCTCCGAGCTCCAGGAGCGAAGATCAGCAGCATTTGTCAGCCGCCCCCGAATCCCCCAAGAAAAAGCCTCCAGCCACACAGGCAGCGAGCGGCCACTCGAGCATTGGCTTCTGCAGCCAGCACCTGGGCAAGCGAGCGGCCCTCGTGACTTACATGGGTCAACTTTGCGCGGCACCAATGCTCTGCTCAGGCACCCTCCTGTCGTGAACGTGGTTGAATGTACAACGCTGCGGGCCCCAACACCTACAGCACCCGCCTGTGCCTGTGCCACGATCGGCTAGAAACTTTAAAACAGCTATAAACTGGCTATAAACAGCTAACCGACGGCGCGTGTGCGGCAGGTTCAGCAGGAATCCACATGCAAGTCCAGCCCACAAGCCCAAGCGGACCAGGCCGATCTTGCAGCTCAGGTCGCCAAACTTCGCTCGCAGCAGCGCCAGAAGTGGCGCATGCGGATTGCAAAGCTCTTCCTGCTCTCGATGTGTCGGATTTCGCGAAGAGGAACGCAAAGCCCTTCAGCCATGTCTGTGACAGTGACTTGTATACTCGTGTACCAACACCAACAACCCCACAAGCCGTGTGAAGGCCGAGCACTACATAGCACTACAGAGTGCCTGAGCTCATCTAGACGCACCAGCGGCGTCCTCGCATCCACGGCAGCACCCCAGCTCCGGAGCACCGCCTCTGCGAGCTGAAGCCGCTGCCTGGAGGCATCGCAGGTCGCAGGCGGTGCCCTGCAACCCGCTGAGGTGCACTAGTGGCCTCCTGCCCTCCAAAAGTCACTCCGAGTGCTGGAAGCATGCCCCGACTGCGTGACCCGGCTGCGGGGAAGGCACGGCAAAGAATGGAGCCGAAGCCCAAGCTTCGACTGAGTGCCTGCGCAGCATCTCTGCGAAGCACCAGGCCGTGAGGGCCTGGATCGAGTCGGACCCACGGGCTGCGCATGGCGCTCCTAGATTGACCCGCACAAAGGCCGCGCAGAAACCACATCCACGCAAACGACTTGCTTCCTGCCGGATCCACGGCAGCTGCTGAAAGGACTGAATTTTTTGTGAAAAATCTCACAACTGAGGAACGGGAGATGATCACAAGGTAGCAAGACTTTCGAAACTTGGAGTCGGTTTTGCAAGCAACATTCGCGGGGCACACGTTGGGATGGTCTCCGAACCGGTACGCTGTTTCGAACAACAGGACAAACTGTAACTGATCACACGCCCTCCCCAGACCCCAAAAACAAATCATGCACGATTGTGCAATGTACTTCCTTGAATGCACCCGCCAGCCTTTCTCAGTCGGCAGCGCCTGAAATCAAGTGTTGGGGTGCCAGGTTTTACCCAAGTCTGCCGATGTGCTGGTTTACCAAGGGTTCGCAAGTGCCATAACAAGATGTGAAGTATCAAAACGAAAAAGCTTTCATCGTACCTCCGTGAAACGTTAATTACAGGCAGAACAGCGGTCTGCAAAGCCATCGCCTGCAAGACAAGTTTGCCTAGAGCTACCCCAAGTCTCAAGCCCGCCGTGGGGCCCGACGGCCTGCCTCGCGAGCTGGAGACTTCGGAACCAGGCAGCGAGCGCTGTCCTCTTCAAACCACGAGCCTCCGGGCAGGGCAGTGAGCATCACTCGTAGTGAACAGGTACGAACAGAGAGAAACAGAGACAGCGAGAACGACGAAAATCAAGATAAAGGCAAAGATACAGGCAGCGACAGAGAGATAGCGGTAGACACGAGTAGACATCAAGAGGCGTGGAACTGTCTATTGCGTAACCATGGTCACTCATCTTTCATGAATAGCATCAACCACTGAGCCATGGTCAGAGACACAGAGACACAAGATTAACCAAGACACTGTACCCAAGCTCGGACGCTGCAGTCGAAGCGTGAGCTCTTCGCACTCAAGTTATAAATTCTGTTTTCCTGGCCTCAGGATCAGCTAGTTCTGATCCGCACACATCCTCCAGGCAACATCCGTCCGAAGCACTCCTCAAACCTGACACATCGCGCCCTTCTGCACAGGATCGCCTCGAACGTGGCCGAACGCCATCTGAGCAGCAAACAAGCCTGGGATTCTGTCGCACTTCAAACGAAGTTCATCCTAATTGCATGCCATCGCCTTAAATCAAAGCAGATGGGAATGCGAGTGGCAAACCAAATGTTTTGGATGCAACAGTTCGTCGAAAACCCATCAAGATCGGTGGCAGCCCAGTTGCAGCGAACGGGCGCCAGCGCCGCCGACGGCAAAGGAGACTGTGCCAAGCGCGCAGCGGGAGCACGGCTTTGGCCAGTGACCTCTGCGGTTGCAGACATGGTCTTCGGAAAAGCTCTTGGTGTTGACAAGATGGGCTTTCAGCCTGAGCTTGAGCGCACACTGTTACACCTTGATGCTTAAAGGCTTCGCTTCCGAAAGCTGCGGCATCGCGAAGTTGAGATCGACTAATCACTTGCCTATCCATTCTTGGACCTCAGTCAAATCAACGACTGTGCCAGCCAAAAGAGCAACACTTAGACTTAGACTTGCCCGGGCCCAAACTTTACTATTTTGCACATCCGTGAGCTCGGCACACCCTCGAGGCCCTCCCGCTTTATCCGATTGTAGCCCGATGCTGCCGGGCGACGCCCGCTGCCTCCAGCTTTCTATGGCCTGCTTCACCACACCTGGTCGCGGCGAAAATGCGGAGCTTCTTGGGCCACGGGCTGCCAAAACTTCAGACATCTCATGTCGCCTTGGCCAAAACTCTCCCTGCCAGTATCCGAAACTCGCTGGGCCTATGGCCTCTCCCAGCCTTCTTCGCTCCGCCACGCCTTCAGCCGGCGCCAAAGCCAGAAACCTCGTAAGGTCGTAAGCGTCTTTTCGCAAGGCCTTCTGTGCTTGGATCCCTGGGACGTATACAAGAGGGTGAGGGAGGGATAAAAAGCTCGAAACGGAGGGGATAAAAGGGCTCGGAGCAGGACACCACCCTTTCCGGAAGCACTGGGACCTTTCTCGGAAATACGGAAGCCGTGGTATAGAAGTTCGACTCTTCGAGGACATCGAAGCTACCGGGTAGGAGTTGCTTCTTAAATTTGATACATGCACGCTGAGCCGCAACGGCGCAGCCGCAGGAGGCATACCGAGGAGTGGAAGAGCTGCCATGCGACCCACGCCATGTCCAAGACCTCTCACGGCGGAAGGTTCAGGCTTTGGCAAAGACGCATGTTTGTCATGGAGCTGCTGCACAATTCAAGACAACCGCAGAGTCGAATTGCGCTGGCGTTGCCCCAAACACTGTGCCTGGCGCTCTGCAGCTGCAGCCTGCCAGAGGCGGAGGCAGCGCTGCAGCTGGCGGTCACGGGTGGC